ATATACCATTGTTCCATTGTCTAAAAAGCCTGAAGAAACAGGTGGATGATGCACCAAATACAGTTTTTCTCTCCGTCGCCAATTTAACCTCATTTAGGTTCACAAGACATCCACTGTGTCGTGGTTGATGGGACCGTATCGATTCTAGAGAAGAGGTTGCAATGTGAAGTGTCCCAAGCAGAGATAGAATGCCCGACATATACGGCCCCTCAATGTACTCCTGTAAGAGGAGGGAATCATCTTAAAAGGCAATGTGGTGAAATACCTTTGCATTTCAATTTCGTTTCTTCTCAAGCTGGTGTCCGACGGTATTTTTGCGGTACTTCGCTTGATGTTGTCGACCGAAAAGTAGTAAGGTTATTGCCATCAGTCTGGCGTCACACATACTAGACACTATCTAACATGCCATAGTATTGTGAAAGCATACCGCTCTGAGAACATGCTTGTTAAAATTTCGTCTAGCAATTTTTATCCACGTGGCACAGTGAGAGCGTTCTGACGACAGCAGGAGCGCAGTAATGGGATCCTAAAACGTGTGCTCCGAGAGAACAATTGACATGCGTGTGGCATCATTTAGTCTTGTCGAATGAGGCTATTCGAATACGTCTGGAACGCGTACTTCATAGCCTTTTACTCGTCACGTTTCAGTTGTGAGTACGGAAGGTGACCAAAAAACACAGCGCATGAGCCATAAATTGACGCAAAGGAGTCGGAAGAGAAGCATCAAATTTCGATCCAGTTGCTCTCCACCATTTCAAGTCTGGGATATAACGTGTCTGGGGAGAACCTGTCAGGAAAGATTTGGGGAATCAGTCGACTGTGTGCTTTTGTTATGTAAATGTGTATAAGTTGATCAAGTGGTTTCGCAGATTTTTTGCGGACGCAATCGCACCTTAAATCGGGAAATACATTATTTTATACCTTCTATTTCCATTTTTAGTTAATTGATAATTTTCTCGGTACAGCGTAGATGTTGCCAGTGGCGTTTGTTGCAGCACAACCGTCAAAGAGGTAATAGTTAGCAGCTAAGAAAACCGATCGGAACAGAGGTGTCGATAGAGCGCTATTGTCGGACACACTACCAATCACTCAAGGTTTAATGTTATCTCATGAGAAATGGATCCCTTGAGGGCACCATCTAACATCGGCCGAGGCAAACTGGTTGTTCAGAGTTGGCCATACTCTCGAAAACTAAAAGGAGTATATTGTGGTGATAACCAGGTCAACTATGTGGGAGAAGTTCTGCAATAGGGGATTGTTCACCATAAACAGATACGCAGCTCACTATGAACATCCAATATCTAAGTGGACACCTTTTAATGAATATGTTGTTCTTCCCAGTTAGTAATTGCTGTTGATTTCAGTGTCCAGGTAGGGATCAACAAAGATACGGTAACCTCCTTGCTGTTGGCTGGTAGAGGCCAGATGGGTTAGTCACATCCTGTCGAAAACTGCGCAAATACTGCGACAAAAATTAGCACATTCCAACCACTATGGCTTAATCAGACTGTATGGGCCAATAAGTACAAGACTCTAGCAGATATGCAAGTTCACACACTGACAACTGTCGTCAAAGACCAAACCTTATTTTCTTCGTCGTGAATAAGTTAGCTATGTGACAGCGGTATGGACTGCACCCTCTGTATCGGAGAGAGAAGTGGCTGGCGCCTTTGATTGTTGCTGACAACATCCCAGCTTGCACTTTCCAATTCCCACATGTGATACGGCGGCCAGGAAGTGTGAACTGATCGACTGCCCTGGCTTCACATTTCGTGTTTGTCTCCATACTAGCCTGCTAACCGTTCTGAGGTGAGTATAGGGCTAATACGGAAATAACCTGTCCCTTTGAGGCGATGAAAACAGGTTCAATTCTACACGCAAGTTGACCAGTCAGAGGCTTCATGGTCTAACTAACGAACACTCGCCAAGGACCGGCCTCGTGCTACCCCAGCAGCGTCGAATTTCCCCTCATCCCCCCTACTTCCTCGCACAAGTGACTTTCAGTTGGTAGCGAGCTAGAATCCAGTCTGGTTAGGCCAATCAACTGGGACTTCCGCGCAGAAGTATTGTGGATCCCAGCCCCACGAACAAAGACACCAAAAATAATAGAAAATCGAGAGGGATAAGATATGAGACCACCTAGTTATTACATGCTTTTCACCAATCACATTCGAGTGATGACCAGTCGGTGGCCAAATTGTACACTTTGTGCCACCACAGCGGACTTGGAATAATGAGAAACTGTTTTTGAACACGGAGTAATGGCCGATATCAATCGATACCAATGGTTTCCAACAGCCTGAGAAATATGAAGTTTCTGGTTGGCACTGAGCGAGTTATTTGCCTACCTATTGAGGCAGCTCGGCTTTGCAGCTCCAACTCCGCTTTCAAAGATTCTCTCTGTCACAGCAATCTCAATGGAATGGATTCATCGATCGACATATCCAAACGTTGGTCTATGCGTCCAACAATGTTGCTCCCCCAGCTACGGGTGAATTTGTGTAAACAATAGGGACGTGCACTAACACGTCGTCGGTATCTTAACTGTACACATAAAGCTTTTGTTAACGTGAAAACAACGGTTCTGCTGTACTGCACAATCTTTACAGTGGAGTGATTATCTGTTTCGCGATTGCTACCATGATGTGGTCACTTTTGAACGGCACCTCAACAGAGGTCAGTTAATTTTGAACTGTTGGAATTCGATCTCATTTGGTTGTGCCACCAAGACTTTTGCGAATTGCAACGAGTAATCGTTAGAGTATACTGTGTCCAACAGCAGATCGCTCTCTGATCTTGCGGTTCAAATCACATGGGTTCGATATTACAGGGACCGGGGGATTCAGTGTTCCCGGTGCATCGGAGAGAAGCTCCTAAAATGCAGGTGCTGACCTGTCTAATCCGCTTTTCCGTGGACCGACTTGCTGTTCGCCGTGTGATCACCATGTCTGCATATGAGAGGAAATAGTGGTGCACAAAACCTAGCGTCACAGTTACTTTCCGACGTTCACTACAGAAGCCCTTGCCGCCTACCCGATGTCCTCACTCGAATCCATGAGTAGCGGTATGTCGTCAACATAACACTTGCATAGAGCACCGATGTTCTGACAATACCTATTTCCTGTTTAACCATGTCCATCAATGGGCTAAGTAAGATAGGTATTACCACATCGTCTGTTTCTCGGTATGCTTTTATTTGCGAGTAAAACTTGCATGAGTGTTCATCTGAAGCATTCACTGTGTGAATGCTTTGCCACGCGCAATCTCAATCCAGGCCAGGATTCACTTTGAAGCGATCCCGATAAATTCGGTCACTAGGACCGTGTCCAAAACAGAAAAAGGTTGAGTTGCCCACTCAAAACACTACTCAACGATAGGCCTTGGTACTTGTTTTCACTAATCAGGTGAGGAATGCCGAAATGCAGCTCGAATCCGGGACGTAGAGACTACCGGTTGACACCACCATTCATATGCCATCGAACCGAGCTTACTTTGTGAACAGAGACCAGTTACCCAAACAATAGATGACAAAGTCGGACCAAGTGGGGAGAGTTAATGAAAAGCGTGGGATAAGTAGTCAAATATAGCGCGGTGCGATAGATATGTCACTGCCGCTATCTGGTCAAGAGAATCCGATGTGAGCGTTTATATGGATGACAGATGAAATCGATCAAACTGTGAGATAAGGAGACAATTAAAAGTATTTTATTATTACTGTTCAACACTTGACCAATGTACAATTGGCAGTGCCACAACACATAGTTAACAACAACAAAAAAGGGGAGTCAGTGAAAGGATTTGGAAAGTTTAGAATGTTAATGTGTTGTGCACTGTATTTGTACCCTTGATCCAATGACAAGGCAACAGCAGTACGCCGGCATGCAGTACCGACGTTTCCGTTCCGCGCAACCACCAACGGTCGCACGTGGGCTAAGGATATTGTGAGAATCGCCGGATCCCTTACGCAGGCTCAGGCGAAGAGCTCTGTAAAGAGCTAGATGGATTGTTGTAAAGGATCAAAGCTAAGCTACCAAAGATCGATAATGTCACAATGACAAACGGTATAAGGTTTGTATATAAAGAGCTAGAGCAAAGGCGAAACATCTACGAGTGGAGCAAGAGGCATAATAACGAGACTAATCTTCGGCTACATGCAACAAATAAAGCAAACAGTGATTGCATGGCTAGGAAATAAGGACCAGATGAATACTAGCACTGCTACAGGAAGCATTTGAGCGGTACTAATTATCTTCGCGATGATTGTTACATATCAGAAAGTACCCATCCTCTGAGCTATTTGCAGTAGCCCCTGGGAGTTGATGAAGCAAAGCATCAATCAGGTAACAGCACTCTCCCGTTGCAAGTACAGAGTACGAGGCTGGGTGCTGGCGGTGAGCATCCAATAACTGCGTCAGAATGGATGCCGCACTAGACGTTCAAGGGAACAGAAAACAGAAATCATAAAAATGAAGTGCACTGAAACAGGAGAGTCCAAGGCTTATTGTGTACAGTGGAAAGTAAAAGTGGTGTTACAAGATGAAGTCAGTTACAACCGGCTTGAATTTGAATCGTATAGTTACCAGGGATCAGAATAGGATATAAATTGGACTCACACCGAGTAGGTAATCAATTTAGTCATGTTAAACAGTTGGCCAATAATAGAAAGATGCAAGTAAATAAGCATGTACTCCGACAACTTGAGATAAACTCAGAACCTAATGGGAATGAACAATTTCAGAAGGTCTAATAATACAAATCAATTTTTGTAGAGGCTTGTATTGCGACTGTGTTTTCCTCTTGACACAAAAGGTTATTCAGGACAGGAAAAACGCTTGTGTTAAAAGTGAAATGTAACCACAAGACAAGCCTTTCCAAAGGTTAATTTGTATTGTAAACCGTACAAAATTAAGTATGCAATCCGTTTAGCATTGGACGTCTTGGTGAAAAACCTCTATGGAGTACAGTGGAAGAAAAATTGTCCCCAAATCTACTAAACTCACCTCTGGAAGTCTGATTCTTAGGTGAGGTCACAATTTGCAAGCAACCCAGGTTAGTTTGGCTATCAACCTGGATCGCGGTGCTTGCAATTGCGGTTACTGGAGCTGCAAGTCTGTTAGAGGCATCTTCGGAGGATTTGGTCAAAGGAGTTGATGTGCTATAGACAACAGAAACAGAAAGAGGATGAGGTCTGAATTGAAGCGAATGGAAGCTAACCACTCAAATTCATGATTCGACTCAAATTGGCTTCGCCCGATGGGAGACTGGGGTTCAGAAGCACCGTATTCCACCCCAGAAGCGTTGATAGTATGACGCTTTGTGTCACGAAATTGGTGCGAACGTTGCCCTAAAAAAGGAAAAATTATTTCACATGTACCCTCCTACTTGTATGAGCAGAAATTCGTTTCCTTAAACTTCGTTTCCCGTTATTTTTAGCACGCTTTTGTAGATGAAGTTTTCTCGTTCTACCGTCATGACAAGAAGAACGTTTATGAGGAGCAAAACTATACTCTAGGGAGTCGCCGGAGTTGCATTCTGGGTCCCCAGTCTCGTCATCCGTATCAACAAGTTCTGCGGAGTCCATTGTTAAAATCGGTAGACTGAGGGTTAGAAGAAAAATTAGATGAAGCTGTGAATCGAAAAACTGGACCAAGATTGCTACAACACACTGGTGTGTGCTTTGCACTGCGTGCAGTAACTCAATAAGAAAAATATTTATTTTACTGTCATTCGAAGCAGCAACAATCGTATCTAAATACACGAACAACAAAACGCTGAAAAGACTGAACAAAAGAAGCCTTTGATGTCGAAGATTACGGGTGAATCGAAGTTGCTTGGGCAAAATCGTGCCGAGTGTGTGAGTGAGTGGGCGTTCGAGTCCACTAGGGGTTCGCCGGAACTTGGAGTGCGCTGTGCCATCTGTAGTTTAGTATTTAGTGATTGCAGGACAGGGTACATTTCGACGAGCTGTTGGAGCGGGCTTGTCGGACTTCAAGAAAAGTGGCTAGCCCAGCAAAAAGGCAGACAGGAGCTCAACCTTCGATGCTGACAAGCGGTGCGCTTGGGAGTGGTCTCTACCCCCGCACCCCACCTCGCTCCAAAACGACCATCGTCCCACGAAGTAACGACCATCGTCCCAATAAGAAACGACCATCGTCTCGCGGAGAAACGACCCGCGTTCGCGTCCAGATCCTCGTTGATTGTGGTGATCCTCGAAAACGTCGCTCGTGAGGGCCAATGGATCAAAGAGGAGGGTTGTAGCAGGTAGAGACGAACGCAGAAAAAGACGCGCAGAACACGACAAAAAGAACGAACGAATGCTCTGCGTGCAAAAATGTTTAGGTTTTTGAATATTTGTATATGAGGTTTTTCGGAAGTTTTTGAATTTTTGTGCTTTCAAAACGATAATCGACCAAAAACGGGGAATATTTACAATATTTACAAGCCTACAAGTCTGCACACTGAACATAATTGGAAAAACGAACAGGTTTATGAACCTCCCGACCGCGACGGTTGATCGTGGGAGGCGACAGGCTCACAGAGACAGGCTCACGGTGACCCTAGCATGTGAACCTAAATCGGTACCCGCTACAGGAATGCCACGTGTTTGTAACGTGGCGCGATTATTCGTAGCATAACACGAAGCGTTCGAAGTAGCCATAGTCTCAGCAACAGCCTACATGCTTAAGCAACATGTCAAAGGTGGACGAAAAATGTAACCCTTGATCGGTGGTCACGATGGCGGGACACCTGTACTGAGCTACCCAGCAGTCCAAAAATGCCTTTCTTAATGTTTCCGAAGTGCAGTTTGGAATCGGGATAGCCTCTGGCCACCTGGTGAATCGGTCGAGGCAAGTTAATAGGTGTACCGAGAGTTTCAAAAGAGGCAGAAGACCTACAAGGTCGATGTGCACGTGGTGGAACGTGCGTCTGGTGTTGAAAACGTGCTTAACGAACTTGTCATGTGCCTTTGCCCTTTCTCGCGTTGACATGGAAGCCAACCTGCTGCCCAAATACGAACGTCAGGAGTGACATTGCGCCAGATGAATGGTGTGGTTACGAGTTTAACCGATGCATGAACGCCTGGGTGAGACAACTCGTGCAACCTGTCGAACATGGTCTGTCGAAATTCGCGTGGGACGAATGGGCGCGGCGTGCCCAGAGATACGTGGAAAAGTACAGCTCCGTCCGATGATGTTAGTGGAACGGGTCGTATGTCCAGTGAGGGAGACCTGGGTAGTAGATCAACCTCAGGAGCAATGAGTTGCGCTGCGGCCATGGCTGACAAGACGATAGCCGTGCCGGCGTCACCAGAGATCGCTTGAATTCGGGAAAATGCGTCCGCGACGAGGTTATGCACACCTGAGGGGCGTCGTATATCGGTCGTAAACTGAGGGATATAGTCTAGGTGGCGCCATTCTAGGACAGTATCGGTTGGTAATCGAACTGAGCACGTAAGTTAGGGATTTGTGGTCAGTAGAAACAGCAAAGGAGTGACCTACTAAAACATGTAGGAAATGACGCATGGATAAATAAATGGCTAATAATTCTTAACTAAACGTACTGTACTGTAACGAGATTTGGCAGGTTGCAAACGTTTGGAAAAAGACCATGGCTGCCAAGCGTCAACTACCTTTTGTTGTAAGACCGCCCCAACTGCCACGTCAGAAGCTTCGGTACTGAGTGACAGTAGGGCTGCCAGTTCGTGATGCGTTAGAGAAGCTATGTTGATCAAAGCCTCTTTAGAAGTCTGGAAGGGAGCGTATGCTGCAGCAGGAAAATCGAACTTCTTAAGATTCTCCAGGAAAAGGTCCGGGAGAGGTTGTATAAGCGAAGCGCAACTAGGTATGAAACGGGGATGAAATTTGACGAGGCCGTCAAAACGTCTTAGCTGCTTGAAGGAATGAAGCTCGGGATAGTCCATGATTGCCTTAATGATGGCCTATAAAAGAGATTTGGTGGCCAAGAAAACTGACCGAATCAACACCAAACGAGCGCTTTGCTGCGTTAATCGTTATCCCGTGTAGAGATAAACGATCAAAGTGTTCGATAGTAGCGTAAACGTTCTCGTAAGGAGCTGCCGATTAAGAAGTCGTCGAGGTAGACATAACTGAAGTCTAGGCCGCGACAAACTTGTTCGTTGAAGCGCTGAAAAGTTTGCGCAGCATTGGTTAGACCAAACGGCATGCGCAGAAACTCGGACAAACCAAATGGAGTCGTCACAGCAGTTTAAACGGTCCGCTTCGGCTACTGGAATCTGGTTGTAAGTGCGCACCAAGTCGATGTTATTGAAAATGCTTTTATCTGCCAGACTGGCGGTGAAGTCCATGACATGTGAGATAGGATAGTGATCAAGAGGCGTTACGCTATTTAGGGAACGATAATCACCACAAGGACGCCAGACCCCATGGTCTTCTATGGAACCATGTGGAGAGGTGACGCCCATGGGCTGGTGGATGGTCTGATGATATCGAGCTGAAGCATATGATTGAATTCAGCTCTTGCGGCATGTGACTTGTCGGAGGCGAGTCGTCTTGGTCGGGCACTCGTTGGCGGATCGCGCGTGGCAACGTGATGAGCGACCTATGTAGTGACTGGCGGAAGCTCTGCAGCTGGTCGTACCAGTCGCGGGTATTCAGGCATTAGGTTCGCATAATCTGAAGTACATCGGCGATTCGAAAAAAGGGACTTAAAATCAGAGCGTCCGTAAGAACGTCTTTAATCCCTAGTTTAGTAAGGTCGTCTAAAAGTCTGTGGCGACGAACATCAACAAACAACCCAAAATGTTGGAGGAAGTCGATACCGATAATTGCGAAGAGTACAGACGTAACCCTGAAAATCCACTGAAAATCTCGGCGGAGATTTAGGTCCAGGTTAATCATGCGTTGACCGAATGAAGCTATCGGAGAACCGTTGGTCGTACGCAGGTTGTACATGGGATTTGAGTGCTTGTCGTTCGCGTTTGCAAGGATGACGCTGACTTCCGCTCCCGTTTCGATGAGGAAGGCGATGGAAGAATATCGATCCTTAAGGTAAAACAGGCGATTTGTTTAATTGTTGATGGATGCGTGGATCGCGCTAGTATGCGGGCTATTTGTTTTTCCTGAAGCGACTGAGTCGTGGCTAATGCAGTGAGTCCGACAAAACATAGATTTCCACAATGTTGGCGGTGATACCAAGGTAATTCTTCGATGAATTTTGTATTAGCTGACTGAGAACGTGCCGAGAAAACGTTGCGCTTTCGTATCGAACAAAACGTAGTTGGTGCAGGCTCAGATGAGGTGCAATGAATGGTAGCCAAAACCTAGTCAGCGTCTGATCGTGGCACACGCTACTTTGAAGACTTCACTGATACTCTCCTACTGCAAAGTAGCGCAATTTCCTCGTCTTTAGGGTCAGATCAGCCTGACGACTTGAAGCAACTGTGAGATTCGGTTTTCCTCGATGGGACTACGTCACTGAAGCTGCTGGTCGTCTGCTGCGGAAGATGTTCGAACGCAGCGTCTGCTTTAGTAGCTAGTTCTTTCAGGGGCGTATTTAGAAACATGAACAGCATTAACGGCAACGGCTCCGGGAGATGTGCAAACCACAACTCCTTTATCCCATCTTTGCTCAAGAATAAGGGGCCAGTAATGCGCTGAATCCCGCGGAGCAACGTAGATGGCTTGCGATTTCCCAGCTTGAGACCATTGAGCTGTTCAAATCTCTAGAACCGATGAGGCATGTTTTGATAAATTGACGCTTTTGAACCCCTACTTGCGTGCACGGTGCATGCGTCAGTCTTCCATTTTCCTGCTTTGTTAGTGACATCGGCTGGCTTGCTGAACAAGATCCTCGTGAAGCCAGGTGAGTGCTCCGGAATTGCCCTGTTCAAACGAATGGTGCGGCGGCGACAATGTTCCAGGACGTGTCGGGTTTTCGCCTGATGAGCTCCCTCTTTATAAAAACCCATAAACGTCCGTTTAACAGCACTGAAAAGTGATGAACGTGACTACCCAGTAAATAAAGCCACTGTCTTTTGCATTGTCTCAGTGAAGCCTTATATTCCAGCACCTTGATGCTAAAATTATGAGAAGGATTGGGCCTCTGTTTGGTAACTGACCAAACAAAAGACGTATGAACTGAGCCAGCTCCCAATAGTCGAGATTGCATGAATTCCCTCCGCTGCATTGCGGGTAGGTACATTAGTCTGACTCGGTGATATGCTCTATGTCAACTTTACCTCGGCTTTGGCAACCGTACGCCCTGAAGGTAAGCAGATTTTAGTTATTCACAGTAATCATCGGAAAAAATGAATCATAATTTGCTAAAGGAAGCGGGGCTGTATGTCTGACAGAGTTAAACACTAAAATGGATCATACAAACTATAGTTTTCCAAAGCCTTACAGCCAGGAACAGTGGTAATGCAGACCCAAGATCAAACAAAACCCACGAAAAAAGCTATGCCACACAAAGCAGAGTATGAGGTAGACACATTTCAAATCATATTCAAAAGTGTTAAAGTTGGCAAGAAGGCGATATTGAACTTCTACAGCATGACGCAACATACGAATACTGTTACCCTTACGCACAGGATGGACAGTA